AAACAGAGACAAGGGAAGTGGAAACAGACAGACAAGGGAAGTGGAAACAGAAACAAGGGAAGTGGAAACAGACAGACAAGGGAAGTGGAAACAGACAGACATGTGATGACTTCAAGTGTCAGTTGGGAAAGGAAAGAGCAAGGCCGCAGATGGAAAACGAAGAAGAGAAAAAAGGCTTGTAATTTCAATCACAGGAAGGGGAGATATCGCTTGCTACCATCTTCATCCCGAATGGAACGCCTTTTGGCGACTTCCAGTCCAGATACAGTGACAATGACAGGGCGGCGTATTCGGATGAAGACGGTAGCCGTCTGTGTTTGCTGTCCCGTAAAAAGGATCCCTGAATGCTAACAGGCAGACAAAGCGATAGCATGGGACTTGATCTCAGTACTGACACTCAAACCTGACAGCGTTTGCAGAGACGACCCCATCTGTGACTCAGAACAGAACATGGGCGCACAAGATCGTACGCCGATACAGCAAGAGTTAAACTGCACAGAGATTTACCCAGCCGATGCCATACACAACATGTACCTCTTAGTAAACAGATCATCAGTTCAAATCCTGGTGGAGTCTAAAGAAGACGAAGAAAAAGAAAAAGAAGACGAAGAAGAAAGAAGAAAGAAAGAAGAAAAAGAAGACGAGGAAGAAAAAAAGAAGAGGAAGAAAAAAAGAAGGGGAAGATCCCACGACTCTGCCAACACAGACCAGTACAAACGAGTTGTATGGATGGATGGTCTTCTTCTTCTTTTCCTGCTCAGCGGCCATGCTAGTCTTCTCTGTATCATTCCAATTTTAACGGATGTCCCAACGGATGTTTGGGCCTCTCATAAAAGTGACTGGATTTCCACGGCTGGGCCCCAGGGACCAGGCTCAGAGACCCAGTTTAGAACAGTACAGTCTGGAAAGTGCTTGGCCCAGACCTGAGGCCTGGCACAAAGCCCAGAACAATGGCATATTCGGCGTAGCCGCAACTTGGGAGGTAACTCTGAAAAAAAAATACTGCGAATGGGAAGAAGTTTGCCACCGCATACTTCGAAAGATGTAATGGCCAAGGAAAGGCACTCCTTTCGACACATGGGTAATATGGGTTTTGTCCATACTCAGTGTTAATTGGAGTTTGTCTCTAAGGAACAAGTTATGGAAGCTCGGATCAACAACATGCAGACATGCAAGCTCCTTCCACTGGTGGTGGAATCCTACCACCAGTTTGTAACTAAACAGAGTGGTTCATTCCTCCAGTGGAATGAACCACTCCTGTATGGGTGGAGCAACTCCAACGCAGGATCCAATCCCCTCCTCCCCCAGATAAAAACCTACCCCGCTGTTTAGTTACAAACCAAAAAATGGTGCAAGTGTGCAGAGAGCCAGAATGAAAAAAAAAAAGCCTATTGCGACAGTTAGAAAACAGCTCTCTGGGCGGGGGGCGGGGGGCGGGGGGGGAACTCTTAAACACAGATGGAAACAACCCAGGACTCGGAAATGTATAAATTCCCGAGAGAGCACTTAATAAAAAGATTCCCTCCCAGAAATCAGCGGTCATCCTGTGGCTCCAATCCATGCATGTCGCAGCAACGACAATCTGGCTGAGATCCACAGGCATGCTGATCACAGAAACGTGTGCCGGTTGTAACTGGGCATGGGAGAACCTGTGCCCCACATCTCTGGCTGCATTGTCCCCACTCAGTGATAATACGGGAATGGTGGAAGGAGAGATGAAGAGGTTAATGGGCCTACAAGACAGCGTTTGGTCTGAGAGATTTATCCTTCCAAGGCATTCAATTTGAGTGGGCCCGAGTACATTGCCAACACCTGCAGAGGAGTGATCCTGGAAGCCATCTGGTGGCGAAGAAATCAACTTGTGTTTTTTTTGTTTTTTTTTTAATATGCGCAGGGGCCATGCTAATCTTCTCTGTATCGTTCCAATTTTAACAGATGTCCCGAAGGACTCAACTTGTGTTTTTTAACGATGAAAGGCCCACAATCTCCAGCACGTGCTCAATAGAATCCTCTCTGAGATTCGAATTACTATTCTGCCAGGCTGGCGCTCAAAAGGGCTCATTTGGTTCACACAAACTGCCGGGGCGTACAACAATGCCGGTGCCTCCATCACCTCCATCACCGCTGAGGGCAAAATGGTCCTCGCGGATTGGCTGTTAAAAAAAACATATATCCTGAGAGAGACCCTGGTGTGACTGGCCCGTGGTATAGGTGAGCTTCGCCTTGGGTCGAAAGACTCCAAAGGTTTGGTTTCTATGTCCTCCCCCTCCCTGTTTAGCTCCTCCTTTTTTTTCTGAAGTCCAGCTGTTTCTGCTGACTTCAAAATGGGTCTTTATGGGACGCTGGACCCGGCCCGGTTTCCAGCACTAGGCTAAGCTGGGAAGCTGGGTTTGTTTTCGCCTTTTTTTTCCCTTCCTGTTTAGCAATCTTTCATTATATAACAACAGGAGGCCGGGAATCCCTCCACATCTCAGCCCGGTGAATGTTAACCTTGCCCCCAAACGAGGCCGACTGGAAACTGGGTCCAGTGTCCCATACTTCTGTCATAGCCTGATATTCCTTCAGAAGCCAACCTCTCTACTTCATGACTCTAACTAGCGTAGCTCTCCTACTACCGTCTTCCCCCGAACATAACGCACCCTAAAAATGAATGTATACAAGATATTTCCGGCCAGATACAGCCAAAATGAGGGTGCGCTGTGTTCGGGGGAAGACGGTAGTCGTCTAGCACCAAGTAACAACTTCTTGTTCATAACCCGGCTTTGCTTACAGAGGCCTATTCTCGACCCCAAAATACCATGCTTTCTCTCCTACGTTTCGCTAAACCTTGACTTCAGTCTTTGTCCTTGTCCCACATCCTCACTTCGGAACTGTAGCGCTGTATCGGGATCCATCTCAGGAACTCAGCCATGGTCCTATCACCAGTTCCAAAGTTTTACACTTTTTTGTTGATCCAGTTGCTTCCTTTTGAAGCGTTGCTGCATGGGACACTGGACCCTGTTTCCAGCACAAGCCTAAGCTGGGTATAGGCCCCCAGTTTTTCCTCGGAGTTGAAATGTCGAGGTTTTCCCGGGCTCAATTTACTATCCGGAAATAAAGCAATATCTCCATTAAAAAAACAAAAAAAAAAAAAAAAAAATCAAGCTAGCAGGATCGAAGGGAATACACACACTAGGACTTTCCTGGATTCATCGGACGGCAATAACGGCAGAACCTGGCTGCATCTGACCACAAATAGGTCCGGGGACATCAGTCGAAAGAAGTCTCGTATGTCCTCGGACATCTGGTAAAATTGGAGCGACACAGACAAAAAAAATAGCATTACCCCTTCAAAATAATTCTTTTTGTTCATTTGGTTCCATATGATTTGAACTCACGCCTCAAAAAAAAAAATATATATATATTGTCACATTGTGAATCAGAGCGCAAAAAAGGGGAAAGAAAAAAGGAAAAGGAAAAAAGGGAAAGGGAAGGAGGTAAGGAAAGCTCCACCTGTTCATAACCTCTTACGTATATATATCGTCAAATAGAACTGCCCGGTAAACCGTAGGCAGAGAGGGAGAAGAGGACAACAAATATAATAATAATAAATCACGTCCCCATTTCAACCGTTTATGGGTGTACCAACTGAGCTAAGCCCGTTGGTCCCTACGCAAGAATGTCACCCATCAACTGAGAAATCGCCCAATTTATCCCTCCCCGCCTCCCCTCCCCCCCCAAAAAAAAAAGTCTTAGTGTGAATATGCCCTCAGAGCGACAAACCGGCAGAGACTGCGAGAGAGACGCGTTGTCGAGACTTACAGTTTTGTCAAAGACTTTGAGACGGAGACGCGGAGAGAGAGACACACAGAGAGACACAGAGAGAGAGAGAGAGAGAGAGAGAGAGAGAGAGAGAGAGAGAGAGAGAAATGAAGGTACACTTTGTCGAGACTTTGTCAAAGATTTTGAGGCGGAGACGGGCAGGGAGGGAGACACACACACACACACACACACACATACACACACACACACACACACACAGATAGAGAGAGAGAGAGAGAGAGAAATGAAGGTACACGTTGTTGAGACTTACACACACACACACACAGATAGAGAGAGAGAGAGAGAGAAATGAAGGTACACGTTGTTGAGACTTACAGTTTTGTCAAAGATTTTGAGAAGGTCGTTGATTAAGTCTCTCGCCATCCGTGCGATCTTCTCCCAGTTGTCTCGAATCCAACCGTCTCTCTGCCACTCGGACGAGGACGCCCGTTGACGGAAGTCGTCGAGGGCCACCATGAGGCCGTCGACCTTGAGCAAAGCTGGACCTAGTTCGAGCCTTCGCACAGTGGGCGACTTCTTCCAGAAATAATTCGACGCGAAGTCATACCCCATGCCGAAAGCACCCTTCCACCACACAAACGACGACTTCAGCGAATCCAGCAGACGTTGAATCTGCTCCTCGCCTGAGAAACAAACAAGCAAGCCAATCAAGCAACTCGATCAGAATCAAACAAGAACGGCCACGACTGCATCTCCTTTCTCTTTTCTTTTTTCTTTTTTTTTTCCCGGAAACCTTGTTACGACTTCTCCTTCCTCTAAATGATCAGGTTCAATGAACTTGCTTGCACTTCTCCCAGCAAGTTCATTGAACTTTCTTTGAATGGTCCGGTGAAGTGTCTGGATCGCGGTGATCTCGGCGGTTTGCCGCTGGGGGTGCGCTATGAGAAGAGTTCATCGAACCTTAGGTTGCCTGACCGGACTCTCTGTTTTTTGCTCTGTTCTTTCACTTTTTTTGTCTTTTTGTCTTGATACAACGGACTGGACCGGACCCACACCGACTCCCTCCCTCCCCCCCCCTCTTTTTTTTTTTCCCCATTATTTTACCGTAAAAATGCGTTTTTTCAGATGCACTTTTTCCACTAAACAGTTCTAAAACCATAAATTTCGAACTTTCAGTTGCATTTTTTCCACCAAGGGGGTTAGGGTTTAGGGAGTTCTCTCTGTCTCTCTCCCCTGCCGCCTCCCATCCCCTCCCCCTCCCCCTCCCCCTCCGCCTCCCATTCGTCCACACAGAACGGGTTGGGTTGGTGGGGGGGGGGGGGGGGGAGAGAGAGAAAAGGGAGAGAAGGGGGGGGAGGAGGGGGAAAGGAGGGAGAGAGAGAGAGAGAAAGAGGGAGAGGGAGGGGGAGGGGGGGGGGGGGGGGGGGGGGGAGGAAAAGACACAAAGGGGGGAGGGAAGAAAACAAAGGGACCAACGGGCTTAGAGCTCAGGTGGTTACACCCATAATCTGTTGAGATGCAGACGTGAGTTCGAATCCAGATGGAGCCAGATGAACGAAATGCCTGAATTACCTAAAGGGGGGGGGGCGGTCAGTTTCACGATGGTATATCAAGGCTGCGCTGTCGCGTTTTCAAACGAAGGAAAACGAGAGAAGGAAAAAGAAGCGGTGGAAAAAAAAAAGGGGGCGGGTGAAGAAACGCGAAGGGAGGAGGAGAAAACCCAGACAAACGCCAAAACAAGAGCGGAAAAGGTTTGATGGTGATTTGGGGATTTTTTTTGGGGGGGGCGGGGGGGGGGAGAGGAGGAGATGGGAGGCGACAAGGGAGAGAGAAAGAGAGAACTAACTAAACCCTAACCCCCAAACCCCCCCTGGGACTCCCATACGTGCACAGCTTTTTCGTTTAATCCGCGAGTGCAGATCCCCGATCTGCTCAGCAAGGGCTTACGGTTCTCCCAAATAGAACGCATGCGCAGTACAGTTGTACCTCGCACGAATAGCAGCCTAATACCGTAACACTACTTGCGCGCGCTATGCGACAGTCAGCAGGATGTTGCCATCAGATCCAATCAAAGGTCCAATCAAGATCCAATCAAGATCCAATCAAAGATCCAATCAAAGATCCAATCAAAGGTCCTATCAAAGGTCCAATCAAAGGTCCAATCAAAGATCCAATCAAGGTCCAATCAAGATCCAATCAAGATCGAATGAAGATCCAATCAAGATCCAATCAAAGATCCAATCAAAGATCCAATCAAAGATTCCAATTAAGATCCAATCAAAGATTCCAATTAAGATCCAATCACAGATCCAATTAAGATGCTATTAAGAACCTATCAGAGATCCCATCAAAGGTCCAACCAAGATCCAACCAAGATCCCATCAAAGGTCCAACCAAGATCCAACCAAGAACCAATCAAGATCCAATCAAGATCCAATCAAGATCAATATCTAATTAAGATCCCACTAAGATCCAATCACGATCCAATCAACAAGATCCAATCAAGATCGAATTAAGATCCAACTAAGATCCAATCACGATCGAATCAACAAGATCCAATCAAGATCTCATTAAGAACCATCTAAGATCCAATCACGATCCAATCAACACATCCTTAACTATGAAGAGACGGTCCTATGAGACAAGGAGGGTTATAGTTCCCGCGTTAACAACACATCGACCCTGGAACAGACCTGGAAGAGGCCTGGTTTGGTTTTGGCAAGCCTACGATTAACACCGTTTCAGAACGGAGGCTCTTGCGGGTCAGTCAGTCATGTCGCTCATGCACCCTGGATGTACGTAGGGGCATCCCCCCCCCTCTCCTGGACAAGCGTCTAGGGCAGCAAGGGTGAGGCTATCTCATGCTGGTTTCTGTCCTTTGTTAACTTTGCTTGCCGGTGATAAGTAACCGGGAACTGGTGCCCCCCAGAATAGGTGGGGCTGGGTGTGTGTGTGGAAATTTAAACCAAAAAAAAAAAAAAAAAAAAAAAAAAAAACGGCTTCAGAACCGGTACCTCTGGGGAAAAAAAAAGAAAGATTTCGTGCCGACCACATGATAAGATTAAAACGTTATCACAAAGAAGGCCCTGGAACGTTTTAAATTTTTTAGTCATTTGATGGTCGGCACTCAAAATCGTGCTCTGCAAGAAAATTGTCAGTTGGCGGGAAGCGCGCACATCGTGAGCTCCCATTCCTCCCTCTCTCTCTCTCTCTCTCTCTCTCTCTCTCTCTCTCTCTCTCTCTCTCTCTCCCCCCAGGAACTTAGGAGAGGAGAAGAAGAGATTCGTTGTGAAAGGAGCGAGAAAGAAAAAAAAGAAGGAAAGCAAAATCGATAGGAACGCAAAAAAAAAAAAAAAAAAGAGGGGTTTGACGCGGGCTGGGGAAAGCCAAGCGCGGGGATATAGTGATCGCAGGTAAACCATCTGGTTGTGTTCTTTTATATGGAACTCCGACGAAACCGTTTGTCACAGCCCCTATAGTTTGTTGTTCTCTTCTCCCTCTTGTCCCTCTCTGCCTACGGCTTACCGGGCAGCTCTGTTTGACTAGTCTATATATGATATATATACCGATTTCCAATGTGACAATATATATATCGTGACAAAGATATCAGAGCGCAGAAGCGAAAAAAAAAATAAAAATCAATTCGTTTGTTATTTTCTTACTTACAACTACCCCTGTTCAGAAGCCCTCTTGCGTACAAGGCCGCCCATATATCACAGCCCTTCGTCTCCCTCGCTGGACAACAAACGAGGGGCTGTGACAAACTGATTACATATACAAATATATACATATTTTGCGCTCTGATATTCTTGTGAGTCGTGACAATATATATATTGTCACATTGTGAATCAGCGCGCAAAAAAGGGGAAAGAAAAAAGGAAAAGGAAAAAAGGGGGAGGGGGAAGAGGTAAGGAAAGCTCCACCTATAGTCAAACAGAGCTGCCGACGGTAAACCGTAGGCAGAGAGGGAGAAGAGGACAACAAACGAGGGGCTATACAAATCGTCAAACAGATATATATGAATATATTACACCTACTAGTATATATCGTCACGTGAATATCAGAGGGCAAAGGCCAAAAAAACAGGAGAGAACAAGAAAAAAATAATTCGTTTTTTTTATCTTCTTTCTTAGAACTCCCCCTGTTCAGAACCACTTGCGTACAAGGCCGCCCACGTGGATTTATATATATAGATAATCAACTCTTTCGAACCGAAGATATTCGACGATGTTGGATTGTTCAGAGCAGTGACGAGGTCATGCTTGACCTCAAAAAGAATAAAGCTTCTCTTAGAGGTCTGGCCCCGCATACAGTTGATTTCACTACTATGTATACTAATCTTTTTCTCATCGACGAATTCTTGACAATGTGGCTAATGCCGTTGATGAGGCGCATGCCTACGCTCTTGCACAGGTACGGCAGCATACACAGACACGCTCATCGGGTGTTGCTCTTCGTATGGTGGTCCGTAGACCCCGTGCAGGGGAATGGACTACGGATACGGGACCTGACACTCTTTCTGTTTCTGACATTCTTCAACATCTTCGGTTTATTGTTACAAATACATATTTGTATACAGCGGATGGCCTTGTTCGTCATCAAGATGTCGGTATCCCTATGG